TTATAATTTTTAAGCCTTTGATAACTAAAACGATCGTACGAAGAAATTCAATGATTTATGGTGTATTTTATATTTATTTATTTGGTGTTGAGGGAATAAAAGGATAGGCCTTAGGCGTGTTGAGGAGGGATTCCCTATTCCCCTATTCTCCTCCTTTGGTGTACCCACTTCTTTAAGTAAAATCCCTTCCGTCTCTTTACCAACTTACGGCTAAATCAAGGTTTTGAAACAAACTAAAATATGCGACACGCTCCACCAATTCTGTTCACATTTAAAAAAGCCACCTAACGATATATATTAAGATTGCGACCTTTATTAGGTTTTCGGATAAATATTAACTAATGTGGTTCTTCTCTTGTGCACGCTTTTGCTGGTTCTGGATAACTCGCATACAAGGTATATCAATTTCAAACTCTAAAATAACATGTTTTCAAAATTGTCATGAATTACGTGGAACGTGTTAGTTCTGGCAATTAGAAATGAGTGGCATCGTGCATTTGAAATAACACGGTGAGTTTTATACCACGTAAAATAACAGTAACCTCTGAGTACTCGGGCAATGAAATCATCTCAGAACTCGAGATGAACACGTAATAAATGAAAAAGATGCAGTGAGTCATCGTAACATTTTTAATGGGAAGGTGCCGTCCAAATATCACGACAGAGAGGGAGCCATGTGTACTTTGGATCATCGGACAGACAAGGAACGAATGCGATCGTCGTGCCCCTCCCACCGACACGACCACGGTCTGTTTTTGTTTTGTTTTTGCAGTCGGTCCCAGTCTCCTACACGGTGAAAAACTATGATGGCCAAACATAGATAAAAGCTTTGAAACTCTCAATATCAGCTCTGATCTTACGAGTCACGAGGAAGAATCTTTCTTTTCATTTCTGTACCGAATAAGTGAAATTAACCGACGTTAGCCTTGCAACGGCATGGCCTGATCCCGTGGTCCCCTTTATTATTATTATTTATAAATCTAAGTATCTAAGCTGACGAATACCTATATATACATGTAACAGAGTAGGCATTAATTTCAAAGGCACAGTACAGGCAAGCAATGTAAAAGCGTTTCTTCTGAAATTATGTAGTTTCATTTTATTTTATTTTTACAAATTAAAGCAGACATTTTGGACCTAGATGTTACCGTGAAGCTTTGTCGGGGGGGATATGTTTCAAAATTCAAACTTTACACGGTTATTATTGCTGAAAGGAATCAAAGAGCCGAAGTGGGACAAAAATAATGCTAAAGTGCCTTTTCTCTTGCAGCCCATTAAGGTACAAGACCTTATAAATATCAAATAAATAAGTAAAATATACTCAAATTACTCAATTATTAATTTAAGGGTAAATTACTGATAGTCCACTTATCGCTTAAATTTTATTTTAATAATTTTTATAATTATATCTTATATTATATTTTATTTTATTTTAATCACCTGATACAAAAGAAAAATAAGAATAATACTAACATGATATTATTAAAATTATTTGTTAATACTGATGTAAAACTACCTTATAATACATTATTATTATTTTTATAATTAATTAAAATAAACACATAATATAATGTTATATATAATTATTATTAAATATGTAATTTATTTTAAAATTAATTATAAATATATTTATTTTTAAAAAAATTACAATATAGTCAAACAATTAAAAAGTTAAATAAATAATAATACTACCCAATGATTGCATTCGGAGTTTTATATAACGCAAAGCATCTTATAAATCATAACCAGACGGCTTTTGGTGAAATCACTTATTATTAAATTGTTCTTTTCCGAAAAACAGTTCTCGAGATAGTATGGTGGCCCTCCACGAGTCAGTACAAAGCCAAATAAACGACAAGTTTAGGTGCATCTTAGCAAGACCCTAACAAGCGCAGGATAAGAATTAAAGATAGACTAAACTACGACCACCAAATTATGATCATTAACTATCGAATTATTTTTTGTTTCAATTCGATCACTAAATTTTTTAATTGATTCAATCAGACCACTCTCCGTTAAAAAACGGATTTACTGACGTGTCTGTTAATAAAACTGACATAACTATATATTTGGTCTTTAATATTTACACATTCTATCAATTTAATCACTATTTTAATTTAATTAAATACATTTAACTATCCAATTAGAACATGACACATGTCAATACATGATTAGAAGGTTTTATTTATGAATTTTAAATTAATTAATTAAATTATTTTTAACCAATCAGGTGGTGACACGTGTCACCACACAATTGAAATGAAAATTGAAGAACGAATTTGCGCTCCAAGGGATTCAAACTTGCATCCGGGGGGAGAATAACTAGATGCTCAAAACGTTGGGCCAAAATTCTCCAATGGTTCTAACTTATAACAGTTTGTATTTGACTTGTACCGTTAAACAAATTATTTGGTTAAATAAATTTCAGTTCGTTAATGGTTACAGAAAAAAAATCGGTTAATTCGATTCGGTTAATAATTTTCAAATAAATTTTGGTTCGATTAACAATTAAAGAAAAAATAATTTATTTGAAAATTATTAACTGAACCAAATTAACTGAAATTTATTTGAAAATTATTAACAGAACCAAATTAACCAATTTTTTTAACATTAATCGAACCAAAATTATTTGACCGTTAATTGAACCGAAATTTATTTGAACCGAATTTTTTCTTTAACATTAATCTAACCGAAATTATTTGACCGTTAATCGAACCGAAATTTATTTGAAAATTATTAACCGAACCAAATTAACCGAATTTTTTTCTTTAACATTAATCGAACCGAAATTATTTGACCGTTAATCGAACCGAAATTTATTTGAAAATTATTAACCGAATTTTTTTCTTTAACCATTAATCGAACCGAAATTATTTGACCGTTAATCGAACCCAAATTTATTTGAAAAATATTAACCGAATAAAATAAATTATTTTTCCTTAACCGTTAAGCGAACCAAAATTTATTTGAAAATTATTAACCAAACCAAATCAACCGATTATTTTCTTTAACTATTAATCGAACTGAAATTATTTGACCGTTAATTGAATCGAAATTTATTTGAAAATTATTAACCGAATAAAATAAATTATTTTTTCCATAACCGTTAATCAAACCAAAATTTATTTGAAAATTATTAACCGAATCGAATTAACCAAATTTTTTTCTATAACCATTAATTGAACTGAAATTTATTTAACCAAATAATTTGTTTAATGGTACAAGTCAAATACAAACTGTTGTAAGTTACAATCATGGGGTGCTTTGGCAACGGTTTGGGCGTCTGGCTATTATCCCCTACCCCTTGGACACAGGTTCAAATCTCTTGGAGCGCAAATTTATTTTTCAATTTTCCATTTCAATTGGGTGGTGACACGTGTTACCACCTGATTGGTTAAAAATCATTTTATTAAATAATTTAAAATTTATAAATAAAACCTTTTAATCATGTTTTGACACATGTCATGTTCTAATTGGATAATTAAATTTATTTAATTGAATTAAAATAATGACTAAATTAATAGAATGTGTAAATATTAAGGACCAAATATATAATTATGCCAATTTTTTAACGGACACGACAACAAATCCATTTTTTTTAACGGAAAATGGTCTCATTGAGTCAATTAAAAAGTTTGGTAGTCGAATTGAGATAAAAAAATAATTTGGTGACAAAATCGATTAATGACCATAGTTTGGTGGTCATCCGTGTAATTTATCCTTAAAGATATCTTCTGTTTAAAAAAAAAAGTTTAAAATTTGCATTAGAATCTAAACGAGTGAGTTAATTTAGTCTAACTTTCGTCAAAGAGACGTGCACTATAGGCTAATAAAGCTGCTGAATCCCATATAACAATTTCAAAGCTTTGGGTGTTGTCATCAATTGAAATTAAAGTCCTTGGTAAGGAAGCTGTGTGATTTTGTTACCAAACTTCCAACCCCACTTTTTTCTTGTAGTGAATTTCCAAATTTTGGCGTGTATTGCAAGTAAAAAACAATTTTCAACACCCACCCAGTGTACGTCCATAAATTCGGGATGCATAGGCCTGGCTTGTACTATAAGCTGCTTTCATAAATTCTAATGGATTTTTCCCCTTTTTAAGCTCTGAACAAGGCTTAACTGAACCTCCTAATCTAATAATCTCCAATGCCTGGGAGGGACCACCAGCCGAGCAAAATCCATAATACCTCGGCCCTCAACGCCAACACACAGCTCCAATTTCCCCTTATAAAACAAAGAAAGAAAACACCACATTCATCGGCCAAAGTTATCTGAATCGGAATAATGCGTATACATAGAAAAGGCAACTACTTCATATACAGAATAAATAAATAAATGCCACCAAACGCTGTATTTGGACTGACAGGAACTAACTAAAATTTGGAATTAGAATAGAGATAATGAATTTAACTAACATTTAGAGTTCTTCCCTAATCTCCCAGGCTTTACCTAATATTGACGTAGTCATAATTATGATTGACCTTAGCTAAGCAAACGTTTAAAAGTGGTATTTTACCATACAGGCTACACCAAAACCATAAACAAAAGCAATTCAATCCAAACCAGGTTGCAGGCAAAATAATTACAAGATTTTTAATGCCATCTACAAAATACCAGACATTGAATAATGCTAGCGAGATGATTATTATTAGCATAGTTATCAGCGGAAGCAATTAAAGAATAATTTGGCCTCCTAACCTCACAATCACTGCACTCGAGAACGCACGAGCCAGCTCCTTCCATCATCAACAAATTCAGCTCCTTAAAGAAAAATAACATTATTTAACATCATAAAGTAGCAAAATACTTGAATAAGAAAATAAGACAGAACAAGATATGGGTCTTTACTCTTATGTTCTGATTCCACGATTCAAAGACCCCTCGCTGTTGAAGATAATACAAAAGTATAATATACCCCAATAATAATAATATGAGATGACAATTAAGAACACCACAATTGGGAATCAGTTTCAAGAAGAAAGAATAAAGAGGAACCAGCTTAAAAACAAAATTCCTTCACTTGTTTAACCATTTATATAACAATCTGATTTCATATCAGTAGTAGAGCCAGATATCAACCCTTGTATTAAAAGCAGAAGGGGATTTAAAAAGTTAACCATAGTATTTGGTTCTCTTAATACCCAAAAATGGGAAAAGATAGGAGAAAAATATAAAGAAAAGGTCAAAAATTTCTGGCTTCATCTTCGATTACTGACAGCCAAACCAGTCACGATCTTAATCCCAGTCTGTGAGCTCTTGGGTTTCGTCTCAGGTGGCTTCCGCCCTTCTTTCTCCACCGTTTCCTTCCAATCTTCTTCAGAGTACTCGGAGAAAGTAAATATGGATTCGCCTAACTCAGCATCCTCAACCGAGTTTTTTTCCTCGGAATTCAATTCAATAATAGGTTGGTCTTTCTGTTTAGCTTTTGTGTCGAATTCAGATTCTTCAAGTGTCCCAAATGTGGGGGTGGGGGTAGGTGTGGGGGTGGGAGTAGGAGCAAGTGAAGGTGAAGGTGTGACTCGGTTGTAAGGAGAGAGCCATTTAGCGCTGACATACTCAGCTTTCCGCCATGGAGGAACATGCATTCCCTTCTTCTTCAGGCTCTGCTTAGCCGCTTCGGAAACAATTGCAATTATTCTCTGGAGACGATCAGCTTTGCCTACGAAAATGAAGGGAAGCAATTGGAGGATTGATTTATAAGTCTTTGTTGATCGGGCAATTTCGAATTCTGATCGGAAATCGATGTCTATCAGCAATCTCTCCCCGTCAATTATCACATCTATGTATTCATATTCACCTGCTTGTTAAATGACAAGATATTATCAATCCAGTGATTAAAATAACTTTAAAAAATCAAACCACAACTGAGGAAAATGGATAACATAACTTTCCCAGAATTATAGAGATATTTCTATAAAAAAAGATAAGAGAGAAATTACCGGCGGGATAAGAGGGTGATTTTTCCCAACGAGATTTGCAGATAGAAGTATCGTATCCAAGGGCCATTAACCCATCAGCAACAATCTTCCTGCAGAAATCATCTTTGTGTTTAGAGATCTTGTTCTTCTCCATAACCTTCGCTGTATGGGCCAGTAAATTCCTTTCAATCACACTCCCACAGGGAACCAAGCTCTATTCAAAGGAAAATGAAAAACGAAAATCAGAAATACATGTTCTGGGCCTATGGCTTACAAAAGAAAAAAAACTGTTCTGCACAAAAATAAGGCAGACTTTATTGCTTTACCTTCAGAATTTCAGATGCTTCAGCAGAATAAGAGGGATTGGAGTCACTAAAACCGAAACCATCCAATTCGTCTTCCGAGCTTTCGTTGTAGTTACGATTGAAGCAGTTAGGGCGGTTACGACTACACCTAATCGCACCAGATTGATGTTTCTCGGTGTTTTCTTCGATGAAATTTTGCACCATCTTCGCCAAACAAAAGGAGCTCGGCTCGAACTCCGCGGTGCATTCTTTGCTAAAAGGCAACTCATCGGCTGCAACGGCATCCACCTTCTCCGCCGCGGAATTCCTTAGAACACTAGGAAACGGGCGCTCGAACAGCCTCTTGAACCGTGATTTCCCCACCGGTTTTACCGCCTCCAAACGAGGCGGCGCTACATCTTCTGAAGGGCTGAAATCGATAGGTTGGATCTTCATTGGGAAAGGCATATTTCTCAGCTCTGAAAAAACGAAACGAAAAACAAAACGCCCCCTTCTGCTTCCAGCGACACTACGGCAGCTCTTCAAACTCTCTTTGAATCTCCGCTTCGATAACTGGAAGACATGTGGCTTTGTGATTAAGGCAGCCAAACGCAATCAACACGGAAATTCATAAAATTTTCTGGGAAGGGCCAAAAATCAGTGCGATTCACCAAGACTCAAGACTCATAAACTTGATTAATATATAATTGCCTCTATTTTGCCAGGCAAAGTATTGAATGACTTCAAAACTCAGCTAAGCTAAGTTGCTTTTACTCAATGGTTTTTAATTTCTTTTCAGATACGGTTAAAGTTCCCGAAATACGCGACGGCACGAAGACGTAACGTGATTGACATGGAAATTCACGCGAAGATCATCAGCGATAGGTGGCTCCATCTCTACACCTCCGATGAGCATCTTTAGTTTTCCGGCGACCAATCGCCGGAGGTGATAACGATATTTAAAAGAAACCAATGAAATAAAAAAATGGCAGAGAAAGCGTGAAAATGGAAATGAGTGTTATTTTTGTTTGGTATTGGAGGACGATTGGCAGCGGAGGCCATTATAAAAGCCCGGTGAGGATTACGTACGGTTTTTTTGACGGTCACGTTAATATCCTACGTAGCGGAAGATCGAACCCGTTGAATCGGGGGGTGCGTGTCGAACGGTAAACCCGGTTCGGCCTTAGAATGGGTTATAGCATGCCACGTATAGAAGCGTAAAGATAAGGTACCAATCTGAAATTTCTTGATGACCCTTTTACCATTAATTATATATATATATATTATAAAACAGTTAGTTTTATTAAAAATAAAAATTTATTTAAATTATAATAAATATTTATAATTACAACTGGTAAGTTAAATTAAACATGTAATAAAAATATTTTTTTATAATCAATAACTCAATAAACTAGTATTTAAATTCATATAAGAAAAATGTTACAAAATTTAATTAAATAATCTCAAACAAAAAATAGATATGAATATATTTGATTGTATCGGTAAACGAAGTACAAAATAGGCTCAAACTATTGAAATATTACTAATAAATCGTAAATTAGAATTGAGTGACGTGAAAAAATCATTCACGAACAAAAATTGTTTATTCAAATTCAATCAAAGTGTTTAAAATAAGGACATGATAACAAATATTAGAAGAAATAAATTACATTTACTATTTTTTATATGTTGTTAATAAATAACGACGACGGTCTTGATGTTGCCTGTTTATGGTTGATATTTTTTCTTGTATCTTAATTTTTATGTTGTTTTTTAGTTTTAATAATTATACATGTTTTTTTTTGTTTTTATAATACACTTTCTTTTATATTTTAGTACATTTTAAGTTATCATTATTGGTTATTTAATAATTCTTATCATTTATTCTTTTAAAATAGGATTTGACATTTTATCGATTGACTAAGACTATACTTATTTATAATTCTATTGATCTTTTATGCCTTGGATTATCTAATTGAATTTGAGTACACAATTTGTATTCGTATATAATTTTTTTCATAATACTTGGTTCTAATTTATGACTATCGCTAGTCTTTTAGTAGTTTGATATTATGTTATGATTTGTTCTCCGATGAACCTAGATTTGTTCTTGTCTATCTTTTGTTGGAATATTTTAGATGTTTTTATCTTTTCCTTGTTTGATATATAACATCCCAATCAAGGCTAGTGACTAAAATGCAAATTTTGAAAACTTTTGTTTAATTTTGAAATAAGTTAAAAGTCCAGAGACTTAATTGGAAATATTTTGGGAATGATGGTTTATTAAAGATTGAAAGAAAGAAGGGTAAAATGGTCATTTGACAAGAAAGATTTTTATCTTTCTTTTGTAGGCTATATAGCATGTGGGAAAGGATAAATATTCTCTAGAGTCTTCTTTAGTTCTTCTTCCTCTCCACTGTGGGTTCTTGCATAAGGTAAGTTGGTCTCTAGTTAATATTTTCTTTCCTTTTAAAGTTGGATTTTATTCTTGGGATAGTAAGAAAGCTTAAATAAAGCTTAAGGTAGCTTAAAATTTTAAGATAATTAAGTTAGGAAGGATTAAAGATGACATGGTTATAAGTGAAATATTGGAATAGAGTTCAAAACTAGAATTGGAAGTTAAATTTGACTTGTCATCAATCTAATTAAGACGTATGAAGTGTTGGAATTAGATTTAGAACATGTTGAAATTTGAGTGTGATTCTTGAATGCTAAGTGGAGGATTGGATTTTGAAGTTAAAAAGGTATTGAATGAGTATTATTTGATTTAAGTAGGTGTATCTAAGTTAGTGATATGAAAGGGGTTGAAATATGGCACAATTGAGCTAGAATGAAGTGATTTTCGTGCTCAAAATGTAATTCTGGGCTAGGGTGTATCGGTACCCATTAAATAAGTATCGATACATCAAGAGTAAAATTCAGGAAGATATTCAAAGGGTATCGATACATAGGCAGTGTATCGATACCCCCTTGAAATAAAAACTTTCGAATGTAATTTGTGTACTGATACATCAGTTAATGGATGTATCGATACCTTATAGAGTGTATCGATATCTACGTTAAACAAGAAATGAAATTAGCTTTTCATTTAGTGTAGGAAATGAAATATTAGAGTAGGTTATTTAGAATACTGATATGTATCAATATATGATTGTGTAGATATCGATCGACAGCAACGTTTGGACAAGTCGACAAGAAATAGTCATCGAGAAAAAGATAAGAGATTTATATTGACTAGAGAGGTCAGATGATTGCATATTAGTTAGTATATTACGATGAATGGAAATAAGACTTGTGACAAGTCTATTTCCTATATTAGCATACATATAAGCATGTTATTGATATGAGCATATTTGTGATATATTATTGTATATGTTTTATGATTTGTGTGAATGTATGTTATTGTTATGTGATTAAGATATCAATTGTGTGATAATGAATTGTATGGATATATGAAATGTGAAGAAAACTAAATAATGTGGACCTAGGTGATTATGTGTGAAAAGGGTATAAATTGTGTGACCATAAAGTATGTGAACATATATATATGAGATAAACCACGTGAATATGATCTATGTGAGTATAACTTATATGATTACAAGATCACAAAAAATAAGCCATATGATATGAGTGATATGATAAGAAACTTTAAGAATATATGTCTATGTGATATGGCTACGTGAATATATGGTAAACATAATAATGATGCCCATGTTACGTGTCATGAGAGCTAGAGGTATAGCTGGCATGCCAAGAGTCGAGGGTTCTACGTGGTCATTCGGGACATATGTGTAATTCTATGGAACATATATGTGGTACTTCGATACATTTATTTGGTACATTGTATTATGCATATGGTTCTTAAGGAGTGGTCCTTCGGGACATAGTGATTCTTCAGGACATAGTGGTCATTCGGGACAAATATTCAATGTCCCTAGTGGGAATTTATTCGAGCTGTGGTGACAGCATAAGTGCACAACCTCAATGAACTCACATATCTTTAGTTCTCCAAAGTGTACATAGGCCAATAAAGAGATAATATAAATAAACCTAATATGATTATATGTGATTGAGCATTTGGATATGAGTGTATGAGTTTCATTTATTGCATATGCTATAGTTTCTATGTGAAATATGTTGGTATGATATATTTGAATGTAAGAGAATGTAATATACTTATATGATATGTTATAAGGAATTGCATGAGAAATCTATTGAACTCTATAAGTATATGTACATGTAATAAAATGATGGACTATATGATTATATGAATAGAATAATTATGATCGTATGGTGAGAATGTAATACCCCAAATTTTGGTTAATTACCAAAATGTAAATTTTGAAAGTTTGTTGGTTAACGTAGTAAATTGAGAAAAGTTTGAGGAAATTAAGTGGTAAAGTTCTTGAAAATAATTTTATTTCATAAATAGATAGTTTACTCTTGAGACTGGGGTTTTATGTAATTATATTTTGAATTTGGAATTTGGTAAAGAAAAATTAGAAATGGCTAAAACCGGTAAGGAATCGGTAATTTCAGATTGAATTTGAATCTTAAAAAATTTGAAGGATGTTATAAAATAGTTGGAAATCTTATTTTAATATTTTGGATCAGATAAATTTGGTATGAAATGTGTAATTTTTCAGATTTAATCGAAACAGTGGAATTTAGTGACTAAAATGCAAGTTTTGAAATTTCATGGGAAAATTCAGAAATTAAAGTCAAATTATTTCATCTTTGACTTTGAAATATGATAAGGATAAGGTGTATAGGTTTTATGCTGAATATGGAAATTCATTAATGGCAAAAATGGAATTTCCTATTGATTTGAATAAAAAAATTCCATTATACCATGTGATGGATTATTTAATATTAGACTATCAATAATAATGGAGCATTTTCATCTTCTTCTTCATCCAAGCTTGCCGTGGGTTTTCTCCCAAGGTAAGAGAAAACTTCAACTCAATTTTCAAGTAATTTACTTAGGATTTTGAGCAAGTTGTAAATAGAAATTGTTATACATCAAAAACTCTATCTTTTGGTACCAATATTGCATGGTAATCTTGTTGGTGTTCAAAGATCCCAAATTTAAGGGTTTGTGTTCATATAAGGGATCATGAAATTGATGATGAATTTTGATGCTTGTGAGGTAGTATATTCATATTCAAGCATATGTGATGATTAGAACATGATTAATCTTTTTAGAACTTGCTCTTTAAGTTTTGGTCATGGATTGTTTGAGTGAGAAAAATTATGGAAAATTATATGGGTTGGAAATGATGAAGGAAGTATGCTACAAGTTTAGAAAGATTTGAGGACCAATTCATAATTTTGAAAAGTTGGAGATCAATTCATAAATTCTGGAAAATTGAGGGATTGTTGTGTAAGTGTTATATAATTGATGTACTATGCTGGAATTTTTGGTATTAAGAATATAAGTGATAAAATGGTGAATGACCATTTTATATAAGTTGGAAAATTGGTGACAATATTAAAAAGAATTAATAAGTGTTTAAATATTTGGTGGAAATTGAGTTCAAGTATATCATGGAGTTGTTATGGGATATGTTTATGTTAGTATAATACTAACATATGTAATCGTTATGAATTTTTGATTTATTCTGATCGTGATTGATTTGTGATCGAAGCAAGTCAAATAGAAAAGGGTTTATTGTGGACAATAGTGAGGCACAAATATTTGGAA